ACCCCCCCCCCCCCCCCCAATGCCCATCCTTAGCACTTAAAGCTGAATGAATTTCCGCTTAAAACCAAACAGCTTAAAGGTCCAGACACACTGGATGCGATTCGACAACGCGACACGATTTTTCGATTTTCACTGACCAATAACTTTGATCTAATTTAAATTTTCCAAATATTTAGAAACGCTATAACATTTGGAGTTATTTGGTCTACATTTCATTCAAAATTTGCTCTCATTGGTTGTTTTATTAACTTTCAAAAACTAAAAAATCGCGTCGCGTTGTCGAATCGCGTCCGGTGTGTCTGGACCTTTAGCTTATCAAAAAATGAACAATATATGCTCTATACACCCTCGCACGTAGTCTATTTTCCTGGCTTTTTTCCAATCTATTTGCGTTCAATTTCACCACTCGTGGTTTAAAACCGGCAACTTTACTCATTAAGCAAACTTTCTTTATTTAAACTTTCGTTTTCTCTACTTAGTCGGCTGCGTGACAGAGTATTTTCGCGTGATAGACGTTTGTAATATATAATTTTCAGTAAATACATGTTCAGAATTTAGTGTAAACAGAAAGCTTAATAACTTGGCCACTGTATTATCGTTGCATACAAACATTCCTCGCTACCCCTTTCTCTGCTTGTGTTACTATATATACCAAAGTGCAGTTCCAGCATGGTGGGAAAATACTAGGGCTCATACAAATTGCTATAGAAATTCCAACAAAGAAACTGCTTGAAATCCCTAGCGACGGCTGTCACAATGAAAGAGATTAATTTGTTTTCAATAATTTGCATGTGATCTCCATAAGAGCTGCCATTTCTCGCTTAGTCAGTGTGGGACTTTCACGATGGCGTGAACTATCTTAATATGAGCTGTTGATGATATTTTTGTGCGAATTTTAACGGAATTGAGTCCAATATAATCCCTGTGGAAAGATGTCGGGCGTGAGAGCTCGAAGCAGTGTTTTACTTGGTTTCGACGGAGTTGCTCACTCTAATTCTCAGCCTGAGCCTGTCTCGAATACGTTCTACAAGAAGCCGTGGTATAAATCTCGTTTGCTCAGTGTGCTATGTGTTGCCTGGCTCATTTTCACACTTTGCCTTGCTATCATGATGATCGTGTCCCTGGTACAGCCTCAATGGATCGGTCGAAATCTTTCCGGAGCGAAGGCAAGCTTTGGATTGTATAGAACTTGTTCGTGGACGCGTACCGGAGACTGTGAAGGCAGTATGTTAGAGTTCGATGATATTCCTTCTTCAGCTTGGAGAGCAGCGTCCATTTTGGTTTTGTTTGCCGTCATTGCTTGTTTTGTGGCTGTCGTCGTATGGGCTGCATTCTGGTTGTGCTTTGTGGAACGTGCCTATGTTGGATTTCGTATTTGCAGTGTGCTTGTATTGGTCGCAGGTAAGAACAACTAATTCCGATCATTGATTTGCTCATGAGTTGTATAGTCTGATATCAGCAAGAATATATACGTATAAACATGGAATAGGTTACAACTATAATCTATATTACTCAGTTTACTAGCAATGCAGTAATTGAATATGGAATGACGTGATGTACGCTGCCATGCTTACACTGCATGCATGTATAATCCTTAGTCAAGACATATAGCCCAAATACTTGTCTTGTTTGTAAAACTCTTGGTGTTTGCTTAAAAAATATGTCACCTAACATAGCGAATTTCATCAATTAAGTATTACTCCGTTATTCATGTAGGTTATAGTTATAGCTTTACTTAAAACCCTGGCAATACCGCTGTGGTACTGCAGGTGTAAAATATAGTGATAATCTATGATGGCCTTTTAGACATGCAAAACACATCGAAGTGTTGTCGGTATTTTGTGTTTACTTTAGTGTAAGATATGGTAGAAGCACTGTAAAATGGCTCGATATGTCAACGTACTTTGCTACTTTTCACAAGTATTTTGTCTCTGCTATATAATCAATATAACAATATTATAGAATAATATGGTTTTATTCATTCAAGTGCGGTTCTATATAAATATTCGTGTTGTGCTCGCTTGAAATGTGCGCTCATTAATTAATTTTTGCCACCTGTAATATTTTATTTAACTATTCGCTGAGCTTCGTCGCATCTAGCTATAATACATATAGTTCTCTTAAAAAAATAGTCGTTTTAACTAAAATGGGACAATATTCTTGACTAGAAAATTATTATCGCAACTTGCTTGCATGCATGTACATCTTCAGAAAGATTATAACTGTGTCTGCATGTGCATGGCGTTATGGCTGTATACACGAACGGTAGATATAATGTGCCCACTTTTCATGGAAGAACTTATATCAACCTAACTTTCGAGTATTTTAATATATTTCTAAGCGCAAAATATATAATACTCTCGTATTTCCTAGAATTCATAAATCTTTAACTTGTCTCAATTCTTCTTTGAAAGTACATTTTTGGCGTTGCCATAATTGCAGCCATTGCACAGCAACTGAAAAGTTTCACGCTGCATGTTCAATTTTTTTTTATGGAAAGCTAGAACACATCGATATACATATAGTATCTTTATCTATAGACATTAGTCAAAAGCCATTGAACTGAAAGGGCTTGATGAAAACTTTGCATATTTAACTTTCATTTGCACATTGGATATTGGGATTTGCCTATTTTTGTTACGGGACTGAGTATAATGCATGAAAGACGCAAGAATGGGAATGAGAAAACCTTCACCATTATAAAGACGGTAATTTGTTGTTGGACATTTCAGAGTTTAAATAATTTCAAGGAAAGCTTTACGGAGCAACTTTGATTGAGAGTTTGTCTGAAAATGTCGTCGGGAAGACTGCATTCTGTCCTTCTCCGGCTCGAGGTCATTTTTTGCTATTGTGAAGAAAGCATTCGGATAATTATTTTCCCATAGTTTGTAATTAGATTATGTTAAGTAATGTTTACACTACACTCGTCATATTCATCAGATAGGCCATTTTTCACGTCAAGTTTGGATTAGTAGAATTTTCTTTCGTTTTGCGAAAGACAAAAGTCGTTCAGGAGTTAATTTATTCTGTTTAGCGATACAGGATTACAGGAACGAGTATATTCCGTGCACGATGAGTTTGAATGGACTTTCCTTGTAATTCGTAATTTAAAACGTGCGCGATAATTATGTACATAACATGATAAGCAAATACGCCGTGCAATTTAAGGTGTTTCAGTCTCTTGAAATTGGCCTGTTTGACAAAAATAACAGGACACTTCTACAAAATCGTGTTACGTTATTTTATTGCTTTACTTGCGAATTTTAGGGTTGATGTATAGCGTCCCCATGCCGGCATCTCAGTGGCATACTTATACCCCTGGAAGCGGGAATGCAAACGCAACTGTCTAAAGCCCAGGTCACACTACACAACGATAACGATACGATAACTTGTATACGCGCGCTGATTGGTCAAAAATTTATCGTTATCGTTCGACTGAAAAAAAAAATCGCTCAGGTGAGCGATTTTAAAATCGTTATCGTTATCGTCAAACGATAATTTTATCATTTTTGTTGTAGTGTGGACACTAACACAATTTTTTTGCCAATTATCGCGTATTTACAATTTATCGTATCGTTATCGTTGTGTAGTGTGACCGGGCCTTAAACCAGAGATAAGAAAACATTTTTTCAAGTAGTTAAAATTGAGCACTACCGACACTATATCGAACCCCACATATGAGACATTTTCATAGTCATTCAACTCACTATAGCACTTGGTGGAGAAATAGTTCACTATCAAAACACTGACCAAAAATTCGGAATCATATTTTAACCGATCTATGATCCCCAACAGCCATGCTGATTCCTACTTTCTGAAGAAGAAATCTAATTGATGATCTAAACACTATTTTCTTTCATCTTAAAACCGTATGTTTTCTATAAATGGAAGTATGATAAACTACATCAAAATCATGATTCAACTGTGTTACGAAATAAAGGCCGGGCTGTTTGTGTAAGAGTCAGTAAGACAGGTTAGCCCGGCTAACCAAGCAAACTAATCTCTTCCATATCTTCACTCATATTCACCAAGTTTACTAATATTCTTCTAACTTTGGTCGTTTTGGTTGTTAATTTCATCTCTATTATTACTTGTGACAAACATGTAGTTAATTTCCCATGCTTAATTATTTCCATTCGTCTCGTGCTGTGTTATTGGTGGCTGAATAATGATAGTATTATTTTATTTCTATAGTAATGGTAAAGTGGGTGTATACCCTACCTGCGGGAAGTCCTAGGAATAGGTATTTCTAGCAAAATCGGTTATACATATACGTAATGACTGTTGTATAGGCCTGCACAGTCGAGCCCATGACGGCGCACTTCTCCTTCCATCGTTCAGTAACCAAAATGTTGTTAGGGTACACACCATGCGAAACATTTATGGTCACAAACACCAGTACTTCCTTCGTAATAAATACAATTCACTGGAATGTGAATGGTGAAATCCGGCCACAGTATGGGAATTGCAATTAGCATGGAAATTGGTTTTCCATTGTGGAGAGGAAATTGAAATTTATGAATTTCGTATTTGTATTTTGTATTTTAATACATATATATGAGTCGTGTTTTAGGGAGAGTTACTATTCTTTTACTTTTAGGATTAGGATTAGAGTAAGGGTTAAGTTCAAAATACAAAAGAATACAAAATTACAAAAGTCTAAAAATAGTAACTCCCCCTAAAACGTGACAGGTTTAATTTAATCGATCAGCTCAAAGTAGACGATGTTAATATTGAATGGATCAAAACTGTCACTGCAGAGTATGGACATCTTCTTGTATCGGTATAAATCCTGGGGGGGGGGGGGGGAATACTGTAAAAGTTAACAAAACGAAGTAGCTACTGCCATTTGCATGCAGTAGCCGAATGTGAATTACACTTTGTCACTTTCTCCTGTATATCTTACAGTTTATGGTTAATTTTCTTTACTATTGAGTTACCACGATGAACGCTTTCAAATATTATGATCTATGACTGTTGCAGTACGTATTTATGTTAGGCTCACACGAACACGACTCCATGCACTTTAGTCGGTTCTTTCTTGACGTGCGAGGAACCGAAATAAGTAGACATGGTTGCCAACTCTCACGGATCCACCGTGATCGTCACGGATTCTACTAAAACCTCACGGTGAGTTCACAGCTTGTTGATATATCACGGATTTCGAAAATGACACAACTGGTTCTTAAATATGTTGGCTTTGTTGCACATTTTAACTATTAAGAGTGACTTCATTTGCGTCAAATTACATAAAACTTTTTTCCTTCTGAAAAGATTCACGCTATATTAAACCAAAAATAGACAATCGAAACATCGCTACATGCAAACTCATGGGTATTCAACAATATGGTTTTGTTTAATATAAATAAAAGCTACCAAAACTTGTGTGTATAAGGTGTAGAAGACTCTGAAAATGCCATTTCCAACGATCTAGATACTCCGCCCCACAAAACAAAATCTCACTCGGGTGTTTTTTGCCAAAGTTGGCAACTATATATGGGTACACCTGTAAATAGCCATATAAATTAAATCTTATCATTCAGCATTTTAGGATTTTATACGAACTATCATAAACCAAATTTATTGTTATGTTTGAATTATTGTAAAATTTGTAATGTGTATGTAATATTGTTTATCTGGGACAAAATTTCTGTTTTATCTCATTGCAAATAGTACTTTTATTTATGAGTAATATATAAAATCTATACTTAGTGTCGTGGCATTTTTGACTACGCCCTTTTGTCGGGCAAAATGAGTCCATCCCCCCCCCCCAATCTTGAGACCAAGAGACCATGAGCAGTCGATCTTTATCTGATATACGAACTTGGATGCGAATGTTTTAACGCACTTAAAAAACGACCCATCTTATGAGTTCATTGGCGAAGTAATTTTTAAAATAAACATTGTCTAAGCCGAGAAAATTAAAGCTGAAGTTTATGTAAATCATTCATTTCCTTCGAATTTTCTTCATGAATTATTAATGAGTATTTTAAATACAAATGATACAAAACACTACTCGAGCAAAGTTTGAAGTGATTTAATCGTCAATAGTTCCCATAACATTTATTTCAAAATAGGCAATAATATTGAATGGATCAAAGCTGACGCAGACAGAGTGTGGGAAGTATGGGCCTCATTGGTATAGTTTCAAGATGGTGTCCTTTGTTTTGATAAAGATCACTTTGCACGGTCTTACCGCCTACCGGTAATTTTTACAAAAGGACTATATAGCACAGGAAAGACAAGCCATGCACTCACCCTCGTAAAATAACTGCACAATTGTCATGTATACAGAACCTATACTGTGATATTGGTTCATCTGCAGTTCGGAAATGACTCTAGTCTCTAGCTAAAAATCGTTATTTTATATTTCAGGGATATTTTTTCTTCTCGCGTGTTTCATATATCCCAGTGGATTCGACGCAGCAGAAATCCGTGCAATTTGCAGTGACAATGCTGACTCGTACAAACTTGGCGACTGCAAAATGATGTGGGTGTATTGGCTAGCCATCATATGCACCATTGATGCTTTCATTTTGTCTTGCTTTGCCTGGTTGATCGTTGTAAGGGACGATAGAATATTGCAACCAAAGAGAAAACCTGTGGCGATGCAAAATGGAACACAGCTAATGGAACTGAAAGCTGATACCCTTGGAAGAAGCTCTACATCAATCTAATACGATTCATTTTGTATATATACCGATAATTTATATATATATTCGTGTGTTATAAATGTCGTTTCGGTACGGGCAGAACATGTGGCTTTGCAGAAGGAATTTTATATATCCCTTCTTGTTAAAGCACCTTTTAAAACGCTACATTTTGCTCTGTTACCTTGAATAATAAGAACTACACACGTAAAAGTCTCACAACTTGTCAACAAGATGTGTTCGCAACAGGCTTGTAGCAAGCTTGCCAACAAGTTGTAACAATACTGTTATTTTATCAAGTTGCTATAAGGTTGTCACTCACAACTTGTTGACAAATTATTGAATTGCCGGACAATGGCGAGTTGTTGGAACAACTTGTAACAAGTCTGTTGAGCTCAACAACCTTGTTGCAAGTTGTCAACAAGCCATTGACAACTTGTCAACAAGCTGGGAACAAGCATTGCGAACACATCCTGTTGACAAGCTGTTGGAACAGCATTGCTACAAGTCTGCTGCAGGTTTGATACAACTTGTGCGTTTTTACGTGTGTAGTAAAGAGACCTATCTGGTTGCGCGTGGCGTATGCGTGTTCAGAGAACAAATATATAGCATGCACAAATGCTCATGCATGTCACTATTGAACATATTTGCAGATCGAATAGGTTGCATGATTATAGATGACGGCCAATCGACATATAGATGGGACCACTGATCGATGCATGAACTATAGTACTGGATAGAGTATCCCTTTGAATTCAATGAGCCAATTTTGAACCAGAGTAATATATATATATATATGTCTGATGGGGAGATTTTTAAACCTGTTCAATTATTTACATATCGAATTGTTTGGAGTCTAATTAAATAAGTTTAACTAACAATATAGATCATAGCTTTGCATACCTCTTCTGATGAGCATTTTAAACCCTACTTAATGAGACTTGATGCGGCCACGTTGGTGCAACCTTATTAGTTATTCAAGCAGCGAATTTGAGACAAAAAAGAAGCCAGTGATGACCAATTTATATGTATAGGCAATAGGCGTCCTATCCCAACAGTTATCAGAAATTGTTAGAACCCAAAGGTCGCGGGTTCGATTCTCACCGTGGTCAGGCAAATTTTTCAGCTTGCCTGGTGTGGATGCACACTCAGAGTAACACCACAAACATCATATTCACCTGAGTACATAACACCAACACACACAAGAAAGTCTCTTCTAACATGTCAGCAACACTATACAGTACATTTGAGTGGTCACACCAAAGTGATCGCCATATTGGCTTTGTTTATGCGTGGTGGATGCACTATCCAGGACTCTAGTTTTCAGGTCAGTGGATGGAACATAACGTTATACACGGATAGCCTTTATTCTTTCAGCTCAACTTGTTTCCATATTTAAAATTAATCCTACTCCCAATTAATCCTACCTTTATCATAATCTCCGACCATAATCCTAAGCCATAATTCACGTTATTTTGAGGAAGGTTTGAAAATTCTTTGCAACTCTGTCTTTGAAAACGGACACACAAAACAAACTGTATAAGCATCGCCTTAAGACTGAATGAAATTATAAAGGCTAGGTGTGTATAGTGGAATTCTGCAAAAGATCAAAATGCGTCGAAAATTACGAAATAAGTATAAATTATTTTATAATATATGGTAAAGTTGAAACTTGCTCTGCTGCAACGACTATTCCCTAACATCATTTTGAAATTTATGTAGGTTTACCCTGTGTCCGTTGTAGTCATTCGTTTCATGTATTTATAATAAATCAATTTCTAATGCGCTTTGATATGCCAGCAACTCTGGTACAAATGTACAATAGAATTAACATTTTTCAGCCTAAAACATGATGCATGCCATGTAGTCTAGCCAGGGGAAATAAATTAACAAAATAGCTTTTTGTCCCTTTAATATGACTTTTGATATTTATACTCCCCTTTTAAGTTTTTGCCCGTTCTCCCCCCCCCGTGGCCAATGTTGATTGAGCTGAGAAGATCTCCCCGTTCGTAACTGGCCTAATTCCACGACGAGCGAAATGCGAAAACTTTCGCGCGAAAACACATTTGTGCGAAATTTTTCTCTCGTAGTGATTTCCACAGTAGAGAAAAAGTTCGCCAAAACACCAGCATTTGATTGGTTTCCCTATTTTGTCATCCAAAACACAAGCATTTGATTGGCTTCGCTATTGCCATTTCGCAATGGAGTAGAAGCGAATTCAACTACCCGGCGAAGAGAAATATTTCGGAGAGAAACACTCCAAATGCGTTGAACCTTTTCGCGCGAAATTTTTCGCATTTCGCTCGTGGAATTAGGCCTTTACAACATTAATTAAAGGCCATTTTCCACTGGGCGGAATTTTCCGCGCGGAGCGGAATTTCTCTTTGTCTTCTAATTAGTTCCACCCATAGATATCTTATATACACTAGATAGTGCATCTAATTATTCTTCAATTCAAAAATTGAAGCCGTGATTGCAGTCTCAGGTCATTCCCATGAAATGAGAACGTAACGAAAAGATTCGTATGTTTTCTATTTCTTAAACAGGGAACTTAAACATTCAGTTAACCCTATTCCAAATACGTTTTTAAACTATTCAAATGATGAAAGTTATTGTTGTTTTTAAGCGTTTATTAGCAAGTGGGAACGACCAACATGGCCGCCATCTATTCAAATGGGTGTAACCGCTGGAATATTCTTGGCTTCAATTTTACTAAAAGAGATGCGATATCTAGTGTATATAAGATATATATATGGTTCCACCCGAGAAATCAAACAAAGACAAACAAAGAGAAATTCAGCTCCGCGCAGAAAATTCCGCCTAGTGGAAAACGGCCTTAAAGCCTGGTTCACTCTGCCTCTGGCAATTTTGTTGGTGATTTTGTGTCAAAAATATACAGTCGCTTTTCAGAAGTAAACAACTCTACGTCTTTTGCATGTCATTCATTCGATCACATTTGCCAGGAGGAGAAAAATTGCCGACAGAATCACTACAAGCGACATTTTTGTCAACACGGACGTTGGATTGCCGAGGAAGGACTAGATTAAAAACTGTGTTTCTATCAGTTTGTGGTAATCTTCAACACATGTGACAAAACATAAGATTTTCAGTTCAAGTTTTTTGCTTCCTTACACAAGAGCTATCAGATGCAAAATGCCGTTAAAATTTGTTACCAATTTTTGGACGACGTCTGTGACTGTGTTGAGGAAAACGTCGCTTGTTTGGGGGGGTGGGGTGGAGATGGGGGAGAATCACGGCTGATCTAGGCTGATCTTTACATGGCATCCACATTGTGATGTCGTTGAATCGATTAACCTGTAAATCAACTGCCACCTACCGAGTAAATGCACTAGGTTTAAGATGTTCTGTTGCATTTTCCGTAGTTGTAGAATATTATTTATTTGTGTGTTTTTTACTTTTTTCCGACAAATCAATTAAATAAATTTGCAGGTGATTTAATCTCAAAATGGGATTTAAGGATTAGAAACAACTTTGCTTATCATGTACAGGTAATTACGTTCCTCCAATTATATATATCCATCCCTTCGATCAATTCCAGTGGACAGTGTTTTCAAATAAACTGTTGCTCTTACAGTTTACTATATTTTTACAGGCTTTTTTTTAACGTGTAGTTCTTCACAAAATGTACAGTTCTAAGTCCATTTGTGCAGTTCTTAGAACACAAATGTGCAGTAACCAAGTCCATTAAAATATGAAATATATACCTTAAATTATACGTTGTCAGAGGTGCAGTCACTATGGGCATTGACAAAATAAACATTTTCTGGGGGAGGAACCCAGATTTCCCTATTTCTTCACAAATTACATACGTGTTTAGGGGTAAAGAGAAAAGAGAGTGAAATTGGGGCGGGAAAGAGACGAATGGGAGAGCTTAATATTCCTTGCTGGCTGCATGCAATGCAAATTTAAGGTTATTAAATATTGAATATTCATGATTCCCCCGTTAGTGATTTGGAATATTTTGTGTCGATTGTTGGGTAAGACACACCTTCACCAGAATTTAGGAGACTCTAGATTTCAAACTTTTCTGGCGAAGCATACCCACAGGGCATTTTTTAACTATATAACTGGGGGGGCAAAGCCCCCCCCCCCAGCCCCATGGTGCCCCCCCCCACACTCAACTATTTTGGCCCCTCCAGTCAAAGTCCCTTTTCTCTAAAATATAAGCAAAACATGGAATTTAGAAGGGTGGTTTGGTATTCTAGACAGTAAAATTTGTGAATCTTATGTCCTGTTTGTAGATACCTTATTGGATTTTAAACATTTTTCAGTGGATTGCATATCCCAGACCCTAAAAATTTGAGTTGTTGGAAGGTTCGGCTAAACAAGTTAGTAACCGCAGGGGGTGTAGGAAGCAGGGGCGCGGGCCCCCAACCCATTGTTTTATAAAGAGGGGGGACGGAATAGTTTTTATTCCCACCAAAAAAAAAATTGAATTTGAAACTAGAAGTATTTGAAATCTGTAATCGATATTTTAATAACAACATTTCTCACAATAATCCATCCTGAGTTGTCGTATGTACATAAACATGCAATGTAAGTACAGTTCACTGAAGGTTCAGTCTATCTACGGCATAATGTAATGCTGTATATCCAAAAATCTGTTTCAGAAAATGCAGGAATTGCAGTCCTAGGGGTAGAAAAATACAAATATTTTCTGGGGGTGAATATCCCCAGATCCCCCTACTGTTAAATGCGATACCCCACCAAAATTTTTGTTGCCAACAACCATCTGTTATCTCTCCACAGTCAGTATAGTATGGTCCCTTTTTGTAGATGCCCCCCCCCCCACCGACGAATTCTTAAAAAATGCCCTGCATGCCCACGGAGCACCTCCGCCGCCCTAAATCGAGTTTGTCTGACTTATTAATCACCCCACCCAACCAAACCATTCTTCCAACTGGATGTGCAAATTGAGAGTCCATATAGTAATTTACAACTTTTAACGTTAGAAATTGAATCACATGCAGGCGCAGTTATAAAATGATTTCTCTAAACTCTAATTTTTTAGCTACTGTTGGCATTCAAACAACAAAGGTTAAAAACACATGCTTGAACTATGATTTTAAGGAATGCGTGGGCGGGATGAATTAAATAATCCACTTGTTGATCACCTGTAAATTTGTACTGATTTGACATATCATTTGGGCGCAATGTATAGTGATATATATAGAACATTTATTTATTTGCTTGAGATTCTTATCAATATTTTTCCTGTATATTAATCAGATTTTGCTGTGCACGAGGGCTACAGTTAGACATGGGAAAGGATTTCTGAAAGGTTCTTTAACTTTTTCGTATCAATTGCATAAAGTAACGAAATACTTCGCCACAAAATGAAAATAACGAAGTAAAACGTTACTTATTAAAACGACTTCGTTCCAAGTAAAAGTAGTGCAGAAAAAGTTTACTTTGTTTGATGTTGACTTCTCAAAAATTGTAATTAACTACAGTAACGAAGTACATTTGGCGGATATGTTCTTTTCTTCTAACAACACTCATTTGGTAAGCTATGATGAAAATTTGGATATAACCAACACTGTGTATGATCCTGAAACTTGTCTGTTTAGTAATGAACGTTTCCCATTGGCATTGTTCGCAAAACTTATTAAGTCGGGGGGATGGGGCAGAATTTTGTAATGGGAAATTCTTTCACTTTTTGTTTGTACAATATGGATTTTTGTTGGGTTACTGTTCAATGGAATGAGGAATATTTTTCAATGCATGACATGGAGTACGGAATTTCGAATTTTAACACTTTAATTATACGGAATTTTTATTTGCTTCTCCAACACAACAACAACAACAACAACAACAACAACAACAACAACAACAACACCAACAACAACAACAACAACAACAACAACAACAACAACAACAATTTTATTAATACTCAGAAATTACAAATAGTTCAGAAATTACAGAATACAGATGAATTTACAAGAAGTGAGTATAGGCCACCTGCAATAAGTAAACTATTAAGGAGCTAGACTAGGCAGCTGACCTTCAAATTATATAACCGAAAAATAACACTGAATAACAAGAAGCAGCTACAATCACTTTCAGAAGTTGTTGGGACACATGTAGTTTTAGCTTGTAAGTGGATCATTATAGTTTTTTACACACAATACCGCTCCCGTCCCCCTCCCCCCACCCCCAATCAATGTTGTTTAAACCAAAACACATCAAATCCGACGAGAAATGGGACACAACATTGAACAGGGGGCGGGGGTATCGTCGTTTGTTGAAATTCAAAGGTTTTGTGGCATCTGTCCCAAGACTTTTGAAACTGATTGTCTGAAAGGCAATGAAAAGCATATTTAACCTCTTTGAATTACCGAGTGTTTTAGAATATCAGTTTTGCGAAAATCGTATAGCATTTAGTATAACATATTAACTGAATTGCACTGGCATATATAATGCTTTTATACTGTGCTTGTTGTGGTCAATATATTTGAAATGTAACATAATCCAACTGACTGAACAGTATATTATAAATGAGCTTATAAAAAGATGTGATATATATGTGGGGAGGGACGTATGCTGACAGATTAAACCTGCTCTATATGCAAGGGATAAAACACATCTATCTGGTTAATTATCGATCTATTTATGGTCTGACCTACTGTACAACAAAATTGTACATGTACTAGAAATGTGGGAGAGCAACATTGAATGGGGGGAGCGGGGGGAGGTGCAAAATGATTTTAAAACCCAAGTATATTAAAAAGTTGCGAATTTGTTTTGTCGTTCCACGAACTTTTGGCCAAGATTGAATCTTGGCCATAAACCGTAGGACGATAAATTTTTATGCATTTTTAAGGCCTCCCCCCCCCCCATTCAATGTTGCCGTTTCGCGTATATTTATGGTCTGACCTACTGTACAACAAAATTGTATGTGTACTAGAAATGTGGGAGAGCAACATTGAATGGGGGGAGCGGGGGGAGGTGCAAAATGATTTTAAAACCCAAGTATATTAAAAAGTTGCGAATTTGTTTTGTCGTTC